CATATTGGTCAGTGAACACTGCTACCTATAGCATTATGTCTTCTAGCCGAAGACCTAACTTGCTTCTGCATGTCCAGCTGTTTCCTCAATATCAGCCTGGAGGAAACATGGTAGATACAGGTCCTGTGGTTCCTTGGGATGTATTTGCTCATTCCTACACATTGCTTCATGCAAGGAAGCTCCCCATAGTAGACTTGTGTGCTGGAAGATTCTATTTTCTTAGGCTATTTCAGACACTCGATGCTCTCACTAAGGTCCAGACTCTCATTTTTGAGGTGCACACTGTAACTGGGAGGAATTTCTGTCCCTTCCACACCCCTCTGTGCTGGGAGTATGCAGCATGGTTGTGGATCTCACTGTGACATCTACAATGCAACAGGGAAATAGGGTACACAGTCTGCTTTAAGGAGAATGCTTCATTCTGGAGGTCAAGTACAATACCTTAGTCTTCATGCAAATAGCTAAACACATATAGCTAGCCCTTTGAGGCATCATAAAAAAAGCCTGATACCCGGAGTTCAAAAAAAATCACCAAAAAAATCACTCTTGCTAAAAAGCACTGGACCCATAGCTAACTTAAACCAAGAGAAAGTCTTGACATCCCTGACTCCATTTTACATCCGTCTTTGAGTCTGACTCTTTCTGCCCTCCAATCACTATGGAGACCTGGAAGGACAAGTCTAATCAACGACATCATCATGATCAGGAACTGAAACCACCCCAAGGAAAAGAACAACAGAACCCAGAAGGACGGACCACCCCTTCCACGAGGACAATTACCTATGACGATCAAATTGCATCCTAGAGCAGGAAGAATCATCTCACAGAAACCAGATTGCTTCCCACAAGTGCTGGCAGAATAACTCATTCTAACCCCTTACAGGACCAGAATGGAGAAAAGGATCCATTTTGCCCATGGAGACTATTTCAGTTTGCACATCTCTCTTCTTCAATTTACCTCTAAAAGCTCATGTCTATATTCCAAATCTGGGTCTGCATACTTACTTCATTCTCCCTGTGGTGTGCCCAGGCATGTAATAAATATTTCTCTGTCTCAACAAAAAAGAAAAAAGAAGACAAGGCCTGATGTCTAAAAAAGTTTTCCATCTTGAATAAGAAGCAGGTTGGTTGCAGATTAGCCATTTGTATGCCCCTTGTATGGCTGGCTCTGGCTGCTCCTGGGGTTGTGGTTTTGAGCAGCTCCAGAAGCCACTTGAAGCTCCATCATCATCACCATTATAATCATGATAGTAGTCATTACCATCTATTATAGTAATAAAAATTCCTTTTAAGCAAATTAATAAAGTGATATCTTCAGATAGGCTTCTTAGAGCATCTCTTGAGATTTTAGAATCCCTGAAGGCCCTATGTGCATGAGTTTTTACCTAGCTACAATGGACAATTGTGACACACTAGCATTTCCCCATTCTAGAGGTGCTACACTGCCATTTCTGCTCTACTGAGGCCGTCCAGCAGCTCATAAACCTCAGCAGCTCATAAACCTCCTTGGGATGAGCTGAAAACTGTACCCCCTCCAGGATGCTGCAGCTTTGCAGGAGCTCAGCTTAGTGAGCTGAGACAGTCTTGGTGGAAAGGAAACAGGCCCTTGCCTCTGGGGTGGGGCCTCAAGAGAACAGGATGCAGACTGGACTAGAGTCGCCCCTCGCTCCTGCAGCAGCCACCTGGAGGCACTCACCCTCCAACACAAACACACACACACACACACACACACACACACACACACACAGAGCTCCAGATGAGACACTACCTTTGCCTTCTGCCTCCCTGTGATTTCTTCATGGGGTTTCCAACTGCATCCTCCAAACTCACCTCGTTACTCTCTTCAACACTTCAGCATCTTAGTCCAGGAAGTGGGCCTGTCTTGCCTTGTTCCTGACCCTGACCCTTTTCCCCCCTTGGCCAGCAACTGGAATTATGCTGCTCTCCTTCTCCTGACTGCATGATAGTTTCTGATACGTCTCTGTGTCCAGTTGGCCAAGGTTGACTATTAGTATGTAAAATCAGATTCATTCACTAAAAAGCCAATTTGTCAGATGGCCAATATGTTCAATCGCTAAAGATTTTGTTTTGAAGTATTGACTTTGCTCTAAACCTGCCCTAGCTCCATCCACAGCCCTAATAGCTGCCACAAAAATGATTTCTGAGCTGGGTGCCAGTGGCTCAAGCCTGTAATCCTAGCTACTCAGGAGGCTGAGATCTGAGGATTGCATTTCAAAGCCATTCCGGTCAGGAAAGCCTGTGAAACTCTTATCTCCAATAAACCACCAGAAAACCAGCAGTGGCACTGTAGCTCAAGTGGTAGAGCACTTGACTTGAGCTGAGAGCTGAGGGACATTGCTCAGGCCCAGAGTTCAAGCCCCATGATAGACAAAAAAAAAAAAAAAGATTTTCAGTAGACACACAGTAGTTTTCAGAGTCAACTTATTGACAAAAGCAAGAGCAACAGCAGAAACAGGTAACTTTGCTATCAAAAAAGAATTCCAGCAATATCTAGTATATGTATGAGTCAAGCGGCAAAGGTCAGATAATGTGATGTCAGGAAAATGAACCCTTAGATATGTATTTTAATGTTTTTTCTTTCATGCATGTGTTTCTAACGGATTTATAAGATTATCTCTTTGTTGCTTTGTATGTCCCTCCCCCACAGTATAACCCCTGCTTTCACTATATTTGATGTCAGTATAACTTGAGGAGGAGATGGGGAAAAAACAGTTGTTTAAGGATACAGGTGGACCTGTTGCAACAATGAGAAGTACAAGTTGTCATGTCCAAAACGAGCTTTACAAAGTCGGTGCGGGGGGTGGGGGGTAGGGGAGGGAAGGGGGAAAGGAGAAGGATTGGGATTGGGGGGAGGGGGGAGGCTGGGAAGGGATGTGAAGGGTAAACAAAAGGAGGAGGCTGCAATGCTTGGCAAGAAATGTACGCATTATCCTGCCCATGTAATTGTAACCCCTCTGTACAGTATGTTCACAAATAAAATAAAAAATAAAAAAAAAGAATTCCAATCTAGCCCTGGGATTTTTGTTAGGATTAAACCATAAAGCCTGGAGAAAGAAAAAAAAAAGACAAGGCTTTCTAAATAGTGGGAATAAAACACTAGTGTTCCTCTATAGCAAATAAACTGATCAACCTAAATGAACTGACCAATTTGCTCAGCAGATTTAATCTTGTCAAACTGCTATTCAGGGGGAGGCTGGCTATTGTTTTTGTGCTCATTACTTAGACACAGGTAGGGCGATTCCTCTGACACTGAAGCCATTGTGACTGGGTGATCTGTGGTAAGAATCTGGGATCTGGTTTTGATGCTTGTTCCTGTCATCATTTATTGTATTTTCTCCCTTAAACAACAACCAATGCATAAAGTGTTACACTTGAAATATGCCAATCAACTGTAAGATGCATTCCAATTTCAAAAACATTGAAATGAAAAAATGTGTCTTAGCCCGATGCCAGTGACTCACACTTATAATCCAAGCTACTCAAGATGACTTGACTATCATAATTCAAATCCAGCCTGGATAGAGAAATTCAAGACACTCTTATCTCCAATTAATCATCTAATATGGTAGAGCTGGAAGCATGGTTCAAATAGTAGAATGCCAGCTGTGGGGGCCCCTGAATTTAAGCTTTCATACTGGCATACACACACACACACACACACACACACACACACACACACACACACACACGGAATGTAAACCTGGGCAAATTATGTACCCTCTCTAAACCTATTTCCCTATCTGTAAGAGGGGAATGATACTGTCAATTGCCTAATAGTTATAAATGAGTATTAATTAAGATATCCCAGGTAAAGCAGAGAATTCCATACTTATGGGGTAGAAAATACTCAATAATTTTATTATCTCTTTCTGTGGCACAAGAGAACTGAGTGCCTCATGCTTGCTGAGCAGTCACTCCTGAGCCATACCTCTTGCCCTTTTACGTGCTGGTTCTTTTTGAGACAGGGTCTCCTTTCTAGTCCAGAAGTACACTGGACTATAATACACCTATTTTAGGCTTCCCGCCACCACTGGGATTACAGATGCATAACACCATGTCCGGTTTCCTTTCTGTGGAGACTGTCTCCACAGGACAGGACTTTTCTATCCCAGCTGGCTTGGCACCATGATCTGCTCAATCGGTGCTTCCCAAGTAGTTTGGGATGACAAGGTGTGCTCTGTTGTTCCCAGCAGATAAAAGAAAAACAGCTGTTATAACATTTTGTTCTATCATGGGTACAATTTTCTTATATCCATGCATAGATAGCATTGGCCTCATTATACAGATTATCTTTTATGGAAGTCAACTATTTTAAGATTGACATAACAGTTATCAAATGCCATGTGCTCTTTGTATATTTTGTTTCTCCAATTACTTTCAGAAGAGCCATGGGGACACACAAGAACCACTGCCAATGAATTAAAAAAAATATGAAGTAAAATTCACGACTTTCACATCATTGGATCAATAATATGAAATCCATTATGAGAACATAAAAGCAATAGCCCACAGCTGAGAGCATTAATTTTGCTTAATACTCAGCACTACAGCAGGTAAGCAACTGCAGAGTGACACAGAGTAAAGACTCTCCTAATTGAAGCTATCTTTTTTCAGTTTTTCATAATATAGTTGCTCCTCCATATCCAAAGGCTCTACATCTCACAATTCAACCAACTACAGACAGAACCTACCCTCCCCAAAACACACCTGTAATAAACATACACATTCAATTTCCTTTTAATTCTTCCCAAAACAATTCAGTATAACAACAACATCCATACTGGCTTGGATATTATAAGTAATATAGAGATTCATTAAAGTATACTAGGGGATATTAGTAGGATATACACACATAGGCCACTATAGCTAATAGACTTGAGCATCCATTGATTTTGGAATCTACAAGGAGCCTTGGGATCAACCAATCTGAAGAAGATAGTAAGGGGTAATGGTATCCAGTCCTAAAATATGCACAGTACCTAACGCAGTCCACTTGCTTCCTAGTGATTAAGTTCAAGTTCCCACAGAATGTTTCTGTCCTGCAGCTCCAGAGCAGCTGAGCTGAGCCATGTGTTCATCTAGCTTTTCCCTTGAAAGGGGACCAGCAGGAAAATCGCTGCACTCTTTCACAGGCTGGGAAGGAACAACTTCTAAGAAAAACAAGAGTTTTGTATCTTTGCCAGGAGCAATGATTAAACTCAAGAAGCAAAGGGCAAGTTTATGTTAATGCACTGTTAGATGGGCCTTGTTCAAAGTGGTCATGGGGCAATGCTTCCTCTGCTTGCTAACCCACAACTGTTTTGAAAACAGTCAGACCACGTGAAACAGAGCTGAAGACACTCTACATCAAGTCAGAGGACAGAGCTTATATTTAACTCATGACACATCCCAGATGAAGAAGAGATGGAGAATGTATGACCCTATTTTCTTCCCCAATACATTATTCCTACTGAGTTCTTTATGTGGAATAGGCACATTTTTCTGTCTAAAGCACATCCTTTAGGCTTATCCAATGTGCCCTGCTTGGCCATCATAATCTCCAAAGAAGAGGGAAGGTTTCTCTGAGTGGAAAGAAGGGTTGAGAGTAAGTGAGGAAATTCAGCATGGATGTCTAAAAGACTAGCCTCATCCTTCCTTTGCCACAAAGAATCAGAAACTCCATGCATATCCTAGTCCCTCAGAGTTATCTTTTAAGAGTACAGTTGATTTGCCAGACCATGAATGACTCCCTGCAAGGACCTGGTGACACCTGGCCATTCCAGTCCTTCCTTGGAATAAGCAGATGGTTAGGACTTTGGGCCATGGAGAAGTCTTTACCTGTAGGTGGCTCTGCTTTGCTGCCGAGTAACAAAAGACACTCTTAGGGATTCTTTCCTCAATACCTGCCAGAACCCTTTAAACCACACCCTCAAGTATCTACCTTCTTTGCCTATGAATCCACTTAACCTTCAAAGCAAGGACATCTCAACATTCTTGGATGATTTGTTTTTGTTTTGTTTTGTTTTGTTTTGTTTTTTGGCCTGGTCGTGGGGCCTGAACTCTGGGTTTGGACACTGTCCCTCAGCTCTTCAGCTCAAGGCTAGCGCTCTACCATGAGCCACAGCACCACTTCCGGCTTTTTTCTTATGTGGTGCTGAGGAATCGAACCCAGGGCCTCGAGCATGCAAGGCAAGTGCTCTACCACTGAGCCACCTTCCCAGCCCTTGGATGATTTGTTTACACAAAGTTACATTCTTCTTCTAAATGATTGAACACATAATAAGCTAGCTAAGGTGGAGAGAGAGAGAGAGAGAGAGAGAGAGTGAGAGAGAGAGAGAGTTGCCATGACTACAAATGGGAAAGAGGAGCACATGGATTCAATGTTATTATTAGCATGGGTTTGGAGCAAACTCAGCAGTTTTAGAACCAAGTGAATTCCTAGAATCCCTTCTCTCAGATCTCTGCTTCAATTGGTATGGGATAGGATGTGAGCATCTGAATGTCTATTTTACCCCTCCTGAGGTGATTCTACTGTGTAGCCAAGACTGAGCTCCACTGTCTTAAAACATCAATTGATAGCACAAGCAGATGAAAAATCTCAAATAAGGTGTGTAGTTATACCCAGGAGCTGTCACCTGCTTTATATTCTAGAAGCACTCAGCTTGGACTTGGCTTTCCCTCATTAGAATTATAGAACTTAGATCACTAATAATTGGAGAAAACCTCAGGAAAAGAACCTGTTTTTCTCAAGAAAAATTTCTGTTTCACTTTAAGACTGATTCCTTACTCTCCTGAGAGGTAATTGGTTATTTTGATTCATACTAACATAAACTGGTGTTTTGAGAAGGAAGTCGTGAAAAGAAACAAAGAGAATATGAGCTGTGGGTCAGGAGACACTCCCCCACCCCCATCACTTCCGTTAGTTTCCTTCCTTGTTGTCAGGGGAATACTGCTCAGTCACTGTCTCAGCCATACATTCCCTGCCCATGGAAGGAGTAGGCGGTTTAAATATACTCCAGAGCATCTTCCAATGTTGTTATTCTGTGACTGGAAGAGAGTTTTCCAGTATCAGAGGAAGTGAGAGTTGCAATTACACATCCCTGTTGAAATTCCCTCCTCACTCCCCATAAGAAATTGCCCTGGGGGCTGGGAAAGTGGATTAGTGGTAGAGTGCTTGCCTAGCATTCAAGAAGCCCTGAGTTCCATTCCTCAGCACCACATAAACAGAAAAAGCCAGGGTGGTGCTGTGGCTCAAGTGGTAGAGTATTAACTTGGAGAAAAAGGAGCTCAGGGACAGTGCCCAGGCCCTGAGTTCAAGCCCCAGGACAGAAAGAAAGAAAAGAAAGAAAGAAAGAGAGAGAGAGAGAAAGAGAGAGAGAAAGAGAGAGGGGGAGAAGGAAGGAAGGAAGGAAGGAAGGAAGGAAGGAAGGAAGGAAGGAAGGAAGGAAGGGAAAGAAAGAAAGAAATTGCCCTGGGAAATCTGAGCCATAAGCCCTTCAGCTCTGAATGATAGCCTGGGCTGGGGACAGTCACAGGTCCACCTGGTCTCTCTCCTCCTTGCCTTATGTGGCAAGATGAAGGACTTCATATGATTCTTGTAAAAGGCATCCATTTTAATTATAGGATCAATCTGTGTTTGCCCTGCTCTGCTGGAAGCACATGGCCTGCTCTTTGCTGCTATCTGCACAGGAAGTGGTGGAATGCGGAAGTTTACCAGATGTTAGTGTCCACATGTCTTCCGGTTCCCAGCCAGTGGAGCCCAGCCAGCTGTCGCTGTGGCACTGTGCTCCTTGCCCTGCCCCTTCTCAGCAGCCCGAGGCTGCACTGTCATCTCCAGCTTCTGCCTTTTCTGATCAGAGCTCAGGGAAGTTGGTGAAAATAAGAACAAGTGTTTATTTCTTAGATCCTTTGCAGCAGGCTCTGTACTAAAGAATGCCACATTGGTCTCTTCATGCTTCAGACACTGACCAAAATCTATTGGGAGGAGATTATTTCAGATAGTGACCTAGTACAAACTGTCTCATGTAGTGTGTAAACTCAGTGGGAAACCAGACATCTGCCTTGAAGTGAAGAGAAACATGCCCTGATGTGTGTGAGTGTGTGTGTGTGTGTATATGTGCATGTGTGTGTGTAAGTGCACGTGGGTGCTTGTGTCTGGGAATTAAAAAAAAAAGAATGCTGTCAAGGAAGCAGTTTTTAGGTGCAGATTGCAGAATTTTCCAGGCATGTGAGTAGAGGAGGGTATGGGGATGAGGGCATGGCTAGAAAAATACAGTCCTGTATTGTCATAGGAAATCCCTGGGACCAACAGCTGGCAGAGATCATTCTCCAGGACTGCCTTTCTGAAACTGATTCCTTGGCCGCAGTGACACAGGGAGCTATCCTGTCATCTAACTTGTGCTTACCTTTATGAGGCACTGGGAACATTGATACCATATCCCAGATCTTCCCTGACCCTTCCTTGCAGTCATGAGGAACTAGAACTCTGGAACATGAAGTAAAGTGTCAACATTCTCATTTACACATGCTTCTGAAGCTCCAATGACTCTCTGCTGTCTCAGAAGATGGGTGGAAGGAATAGGATCAGAGGCATCTCCAGACTAGGAGGGGGATGGGATTCCAACATGGCATTGTCACTGTGTGCTCTTGGACCCACCATGGACCTGGAACATAGACCGCAAACTGACCTCAGGGCTTTCTTGTACTTTCAGACAATTGTCTCCTGTGGAATTGTGGTACTGGCCACTTCCACACTGCACTCCACTTAGCACCCAATGAGTCAAACATGAAGTATCTGTAGGGAACGCATGTATGTATCCATGCTAAGAGAACTAACTGTGGGCACTCATCAACCCAAATCAGGAACCCAACAAATGATGCCATGCTTGTAATTGTAATTAAAAACAAGTAGAACCTAGGAAATCAAATATTTTATTGCATTTCTTAACAATATCCCAAATGACCATCTTTTAATCTTCTGCAAGCAAGACTCTAGGATGGAGCTCTGTGTTGTCTCCCACCCCAATCAGTGTGGGGTACAGGTGGTGGTGCAGAGCCTGAGCAAAGGAAATAAAAAAATAACATCTAGAATCCAGGTGCCAGTAGTTCATGCCCATAATCCTAGAGTCTAATATCTGCAAGATAACAGTTCTAACCCTGATGCTAGCAAGTCTAAGGACTTCTTTTTTAACAACTCATTAACAGAAAACATAAAAGCTTCAACCAATCTATCCAGGGTTAAGGGGCCTGAGCAGGAGCCTCCGATGAAGAATAATAGTTATCTGCTGGGAAAGTTCTTCTAGTCTAGTGCCTGATGAGTTTTCAGGATAGGGAACTTGTTTTGCCATTTGAATATTAAACATCATTCTTGGTTCAAAAAAATTATCAATACAGGCCACAGGCAGCTTTGACAAGAGCCAATGAGATGCATACTTACATCAAGTCACCCTGAAGGCCATTTACTATCTGCAATCTGAATGTTCCTCACCCTTGGGAGAGTAAAATCACTCACATTTTGGTAAAACAAAAGAATTACTGACATCCAATGAAAACACACAATGAGTCTGTCAGGAGAGCACAGTACAGTTGGAAGCTTTTGTTCCCAGGTCCTCCATACACAACTGGGGGTACTGAAAGAAAAGTGGAATGCACCCTTCACCAAACCAGATACCATGACAGCGATGCACCTGCTCCAATGGCAGGATGTCTTTTACTAATTCTTATGAAGGTTTTGCAAAGATTACAAATAGCCTTTCTTCTTCCACCTCCTCCTCTTTCTCTTCCTCTTCTTCTTCCTTCTTCTCTTTATTTAAATACAATTATCCATTTATAAATAAAGTTGATGGCTTGCTTATTTTCAGTCTAATAATAGGTTTGGGAATTCTTGGAGGGTGGGGATGTGAGGATGGGGTTCTTCCTCCAGCAGGTTCAGCTTCTCAATCATTACCTCTGTAAGTGACTGCTTCAGAGCTGAGTACTTGTCCCTAGGTCTCTGAGCAGGCCTCACAGCATCTAACAGGCAAATGATTTCACACAAAAAATAAAGAAATAATGCCTCAGCTTAACTCTATGCCAGGCCCACACTTCGACCTGAATCCTGAGATGTCCTTCCCCAAGGGTCATCATTGGACCTTAGCCAATAT